AATCATTACCTACTCATTTTGATGTCTCACTTTACTTTAGGGTACACAAAAAGAGTAACTAATGAGTAGGTAATGATTCAGTAATCATTACCATTATCATTACCGTCTCACTTTACTTTAGGGTACACAAAAAGGGTAGGTAATGATTAAGTAATAGTTAGTTCCTCATTAGTTCCTCAGTAACTACTGAAATTTGATCAGGAGTTACTGAAGAACTGACCATTAACTAATAGTTAGTTCCTCATTAGTTCCAAATTTGTTTCATAGTAACTACTTTAAATTTTGTGCACCTCAAACAACTGTACTGTGAACAACGGTGTGATCAGTATACAGTACTTTACACGCAGCCCCCATGATAAATTCTTTAAGCTTAGCCTACCTAAAATGTGACACACTATCATATTTATTTCTAAGGCATCATCGTACAGAATAACATGGATGGTCATATTAATGTGTATGTGGTCTGAAAATAATGAATAAAACTCTTCTCAAGAATCTTGCTGTCTGATTATTTTTGTTAAGGAACTAATTGTAAAGATGATGATAATGTAATGAAAGACTACTCATTATGTGTCACTTTACTTTAGGACATAAAGAGGTTAACTAATGGATGGGTTATTGAGTAATGATTCTACACTGATGAAGTAACTAGTTCACTAATTATTAAGTCGTGATTAACCCCTCTATGAAATTTGATCATGAGTTAATGAAGAACTGACCATTAACCAATAGTTCATCATTAGTTCCTCATTCGTTCCTCATTAGTTCCTCATTTGTTCCTCAGTAACTACTCTAATTTTGTGTACCTTAGTTCCTCAGTAACTACTCTAATTTTGTGTACCTTAGTTCCTCAGTAACTACTCAGTAGTTCCTCATAAGTTCCTCAGTAACTACTTCTCTGAAATTTGATCATGAGTTACTGAGGAACTGACCATTAACTAATAGTTAGTTCCTCATTCGTTCCTCATTCGTTCCTCATTAGTTCCTCAGTAACTACTCATTAGTTCCTCATTAGTTCCTCAGTAACTACTCTAATTTTGTGTACCTTATTGTAAAGTGTTACCCAGTATGTTTATATCTTCTTGTGTAGTCATGTTTTTTTATATTGAACAAAGCCGCTAACAAAGCACTGCAAATTTCTGTGACAAATTCACTCAGTGACAAGTTCATCTGCTACAGCTGCTTCACTGATAAAGCTTCCTGTTGGTGGACAAATTTCATGTGATGTAGCAGAAGGAAATGTTGAGTTTACGTCAGCAGTAAGTTTATTCATTTAGAGGCTACAAACGTAGCCACAGCTGAACACAGAGCACAGAGGCATGTGTTGAATCAGATACGCCACAGACAAGACTTTGGTTTGAGAGAGGAGGCCATCTCAGATTGACCATACCAAGCTGAGTCACAGCAGTTCAGCTCAGTTTGTCCTGCTGTGGAAGCTGTATTCATGACTTGGCATGTGGCACACAAAACAGCAAGGGACAAAGTGAACAAGCACACGCTGAAAACTGTAGCTTACAAGCTGAGGACGGATTGTGTTGTATCTGGTGCTAGCTCACATAGCACCATGAGCTAGCTAATGTTACAGCTCAGCAGAGGAGGATGCCTTTAATGTGTAAATCTTGGCACGAGCCTCTAATCCATGAGTAGATGCACGCTTCCTTCTGCCCAGTGATGCAGTTGGCGGGTGTTGTTCATTGGAGAGAAATAGTTCCTACATGAAACTGCTCACAACAATGTCTGCGGATTATCTTGACCAACCGGGTCATGATTTCTGGAAAGAGACATTGCTGTTGGGTTTTTTGTTTTGTTTTTTCTTTGTTTTTTTTGTTTTGTTTTCTGGCACATTGAACACCACAAGCTGTGTGCCATCTAGTTCCATAATATTAAAGAGAAGGCAGAAATCTCAAAGGTGGATATTTCCAACATTCAACAACTCACACCAAAACAATCTAGATTGATAAACAGCACTAAAGATATGAAGAAAAATATGTATTTTTGATTTTGGGGGCTGAGTGTCTGTATTTTGACCACTCAGTTTATCATAGACTTATTATAGGAGCTGGGGTTGAAATTTCAAAATTTAAAAAAAGGAAAAAAATCACACATTTGCCAAAATGTACAGCATCTGCATTAACACAGCCAAAATGATCATAGAAACAAATGAAAAAGTTGAAAATGTCCCTGTAAGGCACAAGGGTTAAGTGTTCTCAGACATTATGACATCAGCAGACAGATGTACAAACTTACTTTGTACAGTACTAGACTGACTGACTGACTGCAGTCCATGTCTTTTTCTGGATCTTTCTTCGCACAGGGGACAGGAGGAGTATTCTGATGAACCAGACTGGTCCCAGTATGAGCTGATGTACTGTCTGCAGAACCAGTGTCCACAGCTGGTAGAGACTGGTTGCCTCAGGACAGCTGCTCCTCCACAGAAATACCACTCCTCTTCCTCTTTCTGTGAAGACATTTCTTTATAACTAAAATAATAAAGAAATGACTTTTTTCAACAACAATCAACAAATAAAATAATTTGTTGATTGTTGCTGAAAAACGTCAGGATTTGGCCAACACTGTCTAGAATCTGAGATGTTCCTTTTATCTTATGTGTCCTGCTTCCATAAACACCTTTTGAACTGCTTTTATTATCTGTCTGTTCAACATTTAGTAATATGACTGTATTTTGTATTGATCCAAACTCAAAACTTTCTGCAGCTATTTCACAGAGAAAGTCTTCCATTAAAAAGATTCTGTCCTTTACATCCGTTAATGTTATACACTTCACCTGTCAGTGGTTTTAATCTTGTGGCTGATCAGTGTATACAGTAGCTCTGCTCTTAGCCAGCACTATGCCAACTATGAAACATTGATACAAAAACCTTAGCCAATGCTTGACTCATGCAGAAATGTGTCAATACTTAAACGATGATGTAGAAGGAGGAAAAGTTAGTTCCTGAAATTGATTGTGAAATTATTGGATATGGAACAACTGTGGATGTGATCATATTTTATTCTTTATTGAGCAAAGTATTTTTTAAAAAAATATGGCAAAACATAGTAACAAAGCAGTGGATTACAATATGAATAACTGACGTAGACACAAAGCATTTTTAATTTCTTTATTCAGCAGATGATACACACACAGACACATATAAAATATAAACATCTTGAGATATGATCATCTGTTGACATAACTGAATTAAGAGTGAACCATAATGTTAGTGCAGTCTTAGCAATTTTAGTTGAAACTGGGAAATGCAAACTATTTTCATGTATTATATAGTTGCCTCCTGGGATTTTACATTGAGTTACACAGGCCATGTCTTCTCACAGATCCATGATTTTTGCTGGTAACAGGAGTCATCATTCCAGCTGTTTTCCAAATTATAATTCATTATTTCTGCACAGTCTTCATCTCTGCCGAAAAGATGTCCATTTGGTTCACCAGAGGCCCAGTAGCTAAAACACAAAAAAAGAACTTAAGTGAAAGTGGCTGGCCCCAGCACATCATGGCAATACAAAAGTAAAGTATTGTGTAAACCTTTTAGTCAGCAGAGTCCCATCCACCCATCTCCATTTCCCCTCTGTCTCTGTGTCAGTCAGTCCAATCCACAGGACCTTTTGGAAACGCCTTACGAATTCCTTATTTATAGAAAAAAGCGTCAACATACTTCATATGTAATAGTTTCATTCTGTCATCCACTTCTGCAACATTGCAATTATTCAGTTTTTCGCTTTCTTTTTCCCACTACATCTCACACACAGATTCACACACACACACACACACACACACACATAAAGACACATACCTGTTCTTCTTTGCTGTTAATAATCACCAGGTCTGCACCTCTTTGCTGACAGTCACTTCTGCTTTGTTGCCAGGGTGCCGTCGTAGAAGAAATGTAATATAAACTACCTCTGAAATATGTCCATCCTTGTTGGGGATAGCAATCTGTTTTAAATTGGAGAGGGGGGAAACACAATTTTTCGGTTGTTACAGGTTAAAACACGCTCTGTGAATATTAGAGATTGTATGAACTTATTTCCATTAGGACAGCATAGAGTACAGATAATGTGGAGAACACAGTGTAAGCACTGATTTTGAAAGCTGACACTTGATTAAATGGGCTCTGGTAGTGGCTATCAAGATATGATTTAGTACAGTGACTAGTATGTGTGTTATTACAGAATCGACAATTTTGCTCCGGCCACTAAATATTACAAAATCAATGAGCCTCAACCGCTAAATGCTTCAGTACCCTTTAGCCACAGCCTTCACTGCCATGGAGATAAAGCCATTCAGAGTGGTGAATCAGAGCCAATTCAGATGGTTTCATTGTTGCATCTGTGAACCAAATGTGACGCCAGAATGGCTGAATCAAAACCTATATCAGAATCCAGTAAAATTAAATACGCTGCAGATTGTGATGTTAGTTTTCTAGACACTGTAATTTCGGCACACACCAGTGAATTTTTAGTTCTGTGACTAGATGTTTCTTTCTGTCTGAGTTTGAAAGAAGAGATCTTAGCAGACCTCTGCAGCCCACTCCTTATCTCTGCCTTAGGCCAGCAGCTCAATGCTACTAGTATAACACACGTGGATCTCTGACTGAACCATTGGTTCAGTTGTTTCATCATGAAGAAGAGTGATTACTGTAAGGGAGGACTAACTAACCTTAAAGCTTTCTATGAAGATCATTTATCTTTTCGGTCATGTCTTCAACTCCTTTAAGGAGCCGGTCTCGTTCGTCAGCCAGGATGTTGTAACTGGTCTGTAACTGGTCTCGTTGTGTTGCCACATTGTTGTAACTGGTCTGTAACTGGTCTCTCTCCTTAGTCAGGTTGTTGTAACTGATCTGTAACTGGTCTCTCTCCATAGTCAGGTTGTTGTTATTGTTGTGAACCAGGACCAACTCCATTTTCCACTCAGAGTTGCTTTTGGTGACTGTTGTACACATAAACAACAAACAAATTAAGAAAATCTGTTAATCAGCATCACCTTCTCAGTGTTTATCAGCATGCTGAAATACTCACACAGGCAAACCAGAGTTATGAGTCCAGTCAGAAGGAGAAGACACAGCAGACTCAGACACACTGCATCAGCTCTGCAGGGGCTCTTCTTCACATTTGCAGCACCTGAGGGGGGAAGTCACAACGCCTGTTTGTCATGTGTTTGTTCATTAATGTGAAACCAAATTAAATTAACTCATTCACATATTATTGTTCATGTTTTAGCCAGACAAAATGCACCAAACACTATCTGAATGACTTTTTGATTCACATATTCACATTAACATGTAGTCAACATCCTGTTACAGTATGCGTATACACATAACAACCTGTTTGCATGTGTTCATTACCTGAGGGTGCAGGCCCAGTTCTGTTTGGCTCCAGACTGTGGATCATCACATTTTGATAAATACTTTCTGTACTGTTTTCCAAACTCTTCCTTTTGTGAGGATA